TTTAAAAAAAAAAAAAAAAAAAAAAAAAAAAAAAAAAGGCCATTTATTTATGTACAAAACTGTTGACACATTTTTGCATCCTTCCCTCTTGCGATTATTACGTGCTTCTTCCTTCCGCTAAGTCCATTTGGTTATTCACACGTGCGTTCCACGCGGAGGCAAATTGTGCCATGTGCAGGCACCATGGGGAATACGCCATACGACAATGTGCCTTCTTGCGCAGCGCTTCCCTTCTTTTCGCCGTAGCGTTGTGTATGCTTCCCGCTTACCTTCTTTTTTATTCCCAATTGAATTGATCTCCCCAAACCCCTACATACACCTCTGAATTTACTACACCACTTCACCCCAAGTAAGGGCGTAATGTATGCAATCATTTGGTGTGATTAATTTTACACGCACGTATTGCTTCGGCCCATGTGCTACTTTTTCCACACAGCCATTTGTTTCGTTTTGCTTCATTTTGCTTCATTTTGTGTTGATTTGTTTTGTCGTTGTGCATGTTTTATGTACTCCATTTATATGTTTGCCCCTTTTATGAAAATACATCGGGAGCGCGTGCAGTTTTGTTCCCGAAGTGTACATCCTGTCACCTGCCCACCTGTTCATTTGCCTACCTGCCTACCTGCTCATCTGATCATCGGATCATGTGATCACTTCACCCCTGCTGCGACAGATGAGCTGGTGACTAAATTCGCGCCACGCAGTTGCATACTACCCCCCCCGATCGTGTTTACACTGTGGGGGAGTACTCTGATGGCGCTGCGGAATGGGGGTGGAGAGTCCATTGTGAGTGCACACGTGTACCCGCTTGTGAGTATGCAATCGGTGTGAATGTTGCGAAGGAGGGGCCCGAGAGGAAGCGAGTGCGGTGTGCAACCTGGCGGGTGCCCGCGTGTCTGTGTTGCGGATCGGGCGTGTGTTGGTCCGTCACGGTGTTAACGCTGCTAAGGATTAACCGTGCTTGTCCTTCCTCGAGGAAGCGTGTCCCCCGCACACACATACGTCGGTCGCCCGCGCAAAGATTTACTTCCACGCACCCACTTCCATTGGGGTCCCCCCCCTTTGAGTCCCCGTTTTTCTGTTTACCTCGAGTGTAACAGGTGTAACGCTCGTACGCGAGTAGCTACCACGTGCGAACAGCTACCGTGACGACTGTATCGAGTGACCATTTTACCCGTTAACGCGCTACGCGGACGGTGCTTCCTGCTTGTGAGAGAGAGAGACATACACACACACATACATACACACAAACACCTGACCCGTTCTACATTTCACATTTTTTTATTTTTTGTTTAATTGGGCTTGGCTCGTCCACGCATATATTTTTTTTTCTTTCGTAAAGTACCTCTTGCGCGCTATACACGATGGGGAGCAACAGTCTGCCGATGTCGCAACAGATGTACTTCAGCACACACAACGCCCTTCGAGTGAACGACGAAAATGATGTGATCAGCACCTTGTTTTATGAAATAAATGGGAACAGGCACATTAGCCTGTTGATATTCCCTTTCTACGACGTGCAAATGTTAAAAAGACTGTTGATAAAAAAATTAAATTTACCAGGAGGAGTGAAAGTAAATGATATTATAATATTTTACAAGGGAATTAAATTGCCCAATTACAGAATCATAAGTACTTACCTGGAAAGTACAAGTCGAAATGAAAAAAAAAAAAAAAAAAAAAAAAAAAAAAAAAAAAATAAATAAATTATATTGGGCGATAAAAGATACCAACCCTAATGCATCCATAAGGGTCATAGACCAAAAGAGTTACCCTCCTTTTTTTGAAAATATTTTACACGATATAAAATTAGCATTTAAAAAAAACATTTCTCCAAAGCTAACAATGGATGGAACAGGAGGTACTTACCTTCTCTTCAATAGCCAGAAGAAAATCTGTTCTGTTTTTAAGCCTTTGGATGAGGAAGCATTTGCTCCATTTAACCCTAGAGGCTATGAAGGGAAAATGTATCAGGAAGGATTTCGATCTGGGGTATTATCTGGCGAAGGAGCCAGTAGAGAAATCGCCGCATATATATTAGACAATAACTACAACAATTTCAGTAGCGTTCCTTGTACCATCATGGTGGAAGCTTGTAACCCTCATTTTAATAATAAGAGTAAATTGAAGTATGTAGACCACGAGAATAATTTGAAGTGGAAGTGTGGGTCTCTTCAAGAGTTTGTTGATTCCAGGGAGAGTGTGGGGAATTACGATTATAAGCAGTTCAGCATTAGGGATATTCATAAGATTGCCATTTTGGATATACGTGTGATGAACTTGGATCGGAACGATGGAAATATTTTGGTGTCTCCTTTGAAGAGTTTGAAGGATTCGTGCAACCAGTTTCTTTATCGGAACAACCGCAGCCTGGGCACCACTGATGAGGACATCCTCAAGCGGATCGTCACGATTGATAAGAAGCCATCCAGGTGCGCCGTGGCGGCTACGCAGCGCGGCAACGTGCGGCGGCCGTTTTGCGCGTCCATTTGGCGCGTCTATTTGGTGCATATGTTTTCCGCTTCACATTGCCGCGTCCATTTTGCGCTTCTATTCCCCCCGCAGGTATAGCCTGATCCCCATAGACCACGGACTCATCATGCCGCACATAATGGACGTCGCGGAGATTGACTTGGTTTGGTTCGAGTGGCCCCAGACAAAGGTGAGCAGAAGAATGCGATAGGGAGGACTTCCCGCTTTGTCACGCCGGTTCACCACACCGCGCAACGACACCGCGCAACGACACCACTTACCCCCGCAGGTGCCCTTCGACGACGAGGAACTGGAGGTCATCTTTACCTTCGACCCGGACAAGGACGCGGAGAAAATTCGTAACAAGCTCCTGATCCGCGAGGACTGCATACGGACCATGCGCGTGTGCACGAGGCTGCTGCAGATCGGAGCCAGGATGCACCTCAATTTGCATGAAATTGCAAAAATCAGCACCAGGAAAAGCATCGACGAGGAGTCCGTGCTGGAGCACCTCGTGCGGGACTCCATCGTGCAGGTGGGCTAGGAGCGATTATGTAGTGATTACGTAGCGATTATGCACCGCCTCTGCACCCATTACGAACAGAATATGGAGTCATTTTACCCCGTTCCGTCGCTCATCCTCTCCCCACTTTTGATCCCCCCCTGGTAGGCATACCAAATGATGGACTACACCTCCCTTATGAGCACCAACCGGCTGGGCTACATCCTGGACTTGGCGGAAATCAAAATTAACAAAAAAAAAAAAATAAACAAAATGAAGTCGATCGAGAACGTGGAAGAAGCATTGAAAGGAGCAAACGATACAAGTGACACAAAGGAGGTAGAAAAGGAGACTTGTCATTTTACTAGCGGGTCGAAGGATGGTAAGTGTGGATCGGTGGAGTACAATGGCAAGTCCCTACCTACTGGGCAAAACTTGCAAGGTGTAAAAGGAATAGAAAGTGCAGAGGATAAACTGAGAGAGGGAAGGTCCAAGAGGACGGAAGGAAAAATCCCTCATGGGAGTCGTGACAGATCGGAAGAGACTTTAACGTATAGAACGTCAGACGTGTCATTAGTGCACCCTGCGGGCACCGCTACGGGGAAGACGTCCCTAGTGGGTGCTCATCTGAACGGGATGGACAGGAAAGATGGTGCTGTGAACGATGAAACAGTGCAGACCGTTTGCGACAGTGAATCGCGTGCGTCTGGTGGGGTTTCATTGGGCCAGGGAAAGGGAAGCCTAAGTAATGAGTTTGAAAATGTGAAGAGGAAAGAAAAGAGTGCATACGATGGCTTGTACAGCATGAAGACCCCTGATGTGGATCTCAACGTAGCGAGTGAACAGAATGAGCAAAATAAAATGTCAACCAATTCGCTGAGCAACAGGAGTGATTATACGCTGGTGACCGCCAGCTCCAGTTCGTGCAATGATGAAAAAGGGGGAAGTAATTCTTGTAGTGGGGAGTCCCCCAAGGGGAGTGCACATGGTGAGGGAGGAAGCGCGCCCTCTAGCGGGGGAGCCAGTAGGGTACATGAAGGGAAACGTTATGACAAGCAGGACAGCCAACTGGACGATCGCCCACGAGCACACAGCGCGAGTGACCAAGACACGAAGGTAAAGAGAAAAAAGAAGAAGAAGAAAAAAAAAAAAAAGTACTACGACAAGGATGATAACAAACCAGGTGATGAAAAAAAGGAAGACGAGGAAGGAAAGGGATTACCCAGTGACAAGCCCAACGATGTGCCTGCAGCAGTACAGAATGAGACAACGAAGGGCGATTTGCTCAAAGACGGCGTACAAGACGACACGGACGATGATGAGGACGACGACGAGGAGGATGACGATGATGATGAGGATGAGGACGAAGAGAACGACGATGTGCCATTTAAAAAACCCTCAGGAACCATTAAACGAATACCTGAAAGTAGCGGGACGGCCTACCGGGGCATTGAGATGAACAAAGTGAACTCAGTCTGGGTCATACGAGACAAAAACAACAAAATTATTAACGTCAAGTGGGAGAATAAAATATTTGAAAAGCTTTTCTTCGAGACGTTTGAAAATTATGTTAAGAGGTACATTAACGATTACCACCCCGAGTGGAAACAGTATCCCTACAACGGGTCACAGATCAGCAGTATCAAGCATGGCTACCTGAAGAGCATAAAGTGAGGGAGGGGGCGGGCTCTTTTCCCCCCCCCCCTGGTCATCATGCGTAGCGATGAGTAGCGGCCGCCTCAGCCGTTACTTCGTAAACACACCACATTGTAAAAATAATTTACCTCAAAAAGGGGAACAAAAAAATGATCATTTTTGCTTCATTTTATCCTTTTTTTTTTTTTCTCCCCATTTTCTGTCTGCCCATTTTGCCAACCTTTTTTTTTTTTTTTTTTTTATGTTACCAGTTTGACCACGCGCACATCTCTTCTGCCGTGCAGGTGTGTACCATTTGTTTGCCCCCCCCCTGCGTTTTATTTTTCGTTTACGCTGCGCTTTGCGCCTACTTTGGGGGTATTTTAATGTCTTTTTTTTTTTTTTTTTTTTTTTCACCCTGTTACACGCTTCCATACGCATTTCATTTTTAAGGGATGCGAATGGGGAAAACCTCGCACGGAATTAAAAAGTGTAATTAAAAGTTGGTGCTCAGAGGTGGGGCAAAAAAAAAAAAAAGGACGCGCTCAGCATGAATTATGCGTGTGTGCGTGCGGCTAGGTCGCTTTCTTCCCCTCCGCCTCCTCAAATGTAACGGTGAAGGATGGGGTGTCATGCATTATTTGCCATGTGTTAGGCGCATGAGCAGGGGAGTGCCCCTCTAGTCCAGGTTCATGGAGAAGAGAAAATCGAACATGGACTCCGAGCGATTTCTCCAAAAAGCCTTCCTCATTTTTGAAGTATTCAATTGGCACTTTATCTTCATGACTCTGTTTGAGGTAAACATAGAAGGTGCGTGGCTCATTGTAGTGGGAGTGCTCCCCTTTTTTGTACTTGGCCAAGAGGGTGTAAATTTGGGTAAACACATCAAATGCTTTGTCAACGGGTGATTCCTCCTCAAGTTGGGGCAGCGTTTCATTTTTCAACAAAGCGTAGTTGCTGGACAAGGGTATGGAGTGATCGAATGGTGGTTGGCATTTTTCCCCAACCCTATCAATTGGTTCCCTTTGAAAAATTCTAATGTAAAGTACTTCTGCTATCTGTGGAACGAAGGGAAAAATAATTTTTAAGATTCCTCTGAAGATATAAGTGGGTAGAAAATTGCTAACCAATTCATCCTCTTCATCTTTGAAGTACCCAAATGAATGAACAGTCAAATAAAAGTTAGAAAAAATATTTATTACAAAGTTGAAAATTATGTTGACAGCTTTTCCCACGTTATAATTTTTCATCTGACACAAAACTGAATTCACCATCTGAAGGTACCTGCGAAAAGTACCTATGTGAGAAATTCGTGGATGCGGAATTTTTTCTAACCGAGTAAGGATAGGGTTACAAGTGGTGGAACAAAACCATTTGTTCATTTGTTCGTAGGACTCTGCAGACGGGCACGGACAATTCTTTTTAATATATTTTGCCATGTTCCATAGCTTTGTCAGCAATTTTCTGCTCTTCCGATTTACATTTTCACTTAGGTGGACATCCTCTGTGTCCCTTTGAATAAAACAGAAGGAGAGCCTCACTTGGTCCACATTCGCTTCCCGTATGAGGCTATCGTAGTACTTTGCGTTCGTTTCACTTTTGCTGATTTTTCTACCCGCCTGGTCTTTCAAAATGCCGTGGAACTTTACTGTTCCCGCGAGGGGAGGGCATGCACACTCTGCGTTCGGGTGGATCCTCTGGCGGTTTTCGTCTCCGTCTTCATCGACCGCGCCGTTCGCGCTGTCTTGGTCGTTTTCGCTTCCCCCCCAATGGCGCAGCACATAGTTGAGCACCACGAAGCTGCGCACCACCCACGGTTGGAGAATGTCCTTCCCTGTGATGAGCAGGTCCACCAAACTTTTCCTGACACGCAGGAAGTGAGGCAAATCAACTCCCAACTCTTTAATGCAGTGTAAGGGGTACAGGGCTGATGAAAACCAATTATCCAACACGTCCTCCTCCCTTTTTAAAAACTCCTGTCTCATTTGGCTACGTTGGAATAAGTCCGACCTGGACACCTCGTGGTAAGCTTCATCCACGTCGTTGCCATACACATAGCAAGAGGAGTTTTCCAAAAGGGTTTTTTTTTCTACACCCTCCTCGGGAGGCTCATATTTAAATAGAGGCACTGGGTGGCCGTGGGGGACCTGCCTGCTTAACGTCCATTCACTGGGGGGAGGAAGTGCCCCTGTGAAATAGTCCTCATACTTGGAAGGAATTATTTGGTACTTTTTTTTTTTTTTTTTTGTTTTTTTTTTTTCTTCCTCTCCATGTGGGCCATAAAAAAATATTTTGCTCAGCTTATCATACTGCAAACACCACTGGTCCGCCAGAGTAAGTACACACTCGTTATTTTTATAAAAGGCACACTTGAGTTGAGTCTCCTGCGGGGTTACCACTTTGGCCAGGCCATTCTTCATCAGATATTGCACGAGTGGGAGGTCTCCCTGCTGCTCCTTACATGTTTGCGTCTCGTTATGTACAGTATCTTCCCCCCCTTTGACGCCATGTAATGCTTCTGAGCGGTCTGTGTAACTTGTCTCATTAGAATAATGGTTATAGTCCTCCTTATTGGAAAACACCGGGATGAATATATCCCCAGCACATTCTCCTTGGTCCACTCCATGTGCAGTTCCCTCCTGCATCTTTTCACGTCTGAGTAAGGGAAGAACGTTCCGCTCGTTCGCACAAATGAAAGGTACTCCCTTGTTCAGGAGGGGCAACAAGGCGTACTTGCCCTTATAGTGCTTCTCCTTCTTTGGCGAGAAGTACAAAATAGCTACAACCCGTTTTAACTCTTCCAAATTTGCTACTTCAAGTTGGATAAATTTGGGAGGACTAACTTCAGGTGGCATCATCTCATGTGCATTTTTTATATGAAGAAAATGGTGGGAGGGCTTTGGAAAAATTTTCACTTCATTCGTGTCCTTCGAATCATTTCTACACTTACATATGGGCACTTCCCCTCCTATTCTCTCTTTTGCTTTCTCCCTTGGCGGGGTATCCCCGTGAGTGCAGCCAGTGCAGTGATGCGATGTGCCGCCTGCGGGTAATGCCTCCCCACCATCCACGAGCCGTAGTGTTACCCTCCATTTGGGCCTCAGCGCCTCCCTGAATTCTACGTCCAATTTCGACACGATGGTTCCCAATTGGGGGCAAAAATACACAGGGTATAATTTCTTCAAAATAAAGTTGTTCTTATACAATGCGTGGAAGGTATCATTAACCATCCTTTTCATATTTGAATCCATGGTGCTGTAAAAGCGGGTCCTGTCCACTACGATATTCATTTTTTGCATGCACAGGAGGATTTGTTCCTTTAACTTTTCCTGCCACTGATTTATTTCTCGCATGTACTTTTCTCTGGTCCACTTTGGGTTGGCCACTTTGGAAAACGCGCTGTGAGCGCTCAGCCCCCCGTGGTCTGCGCCTGCGATTATGTGGTGGTGAAGAAGCAGCACATATATGAAGTGGAAGCGGAGAACGGCGATTAATAGGCAAACATGCACCGAGGGAACATCTCCTTACCGTAGAGAGCCACCGAGTACTTGGACCAGATGTGCCTACTGAAGAGTAAAAGGACGTGGAGCTGAACGAAGTTGAAGTAGTGCCCTGCGTGTAATGCTCCCGACAAATTTGGTGGGGGAAATAAAAAAATAAATGAATTCGCATAATCTGCGGGAGTGAACCGATCTAAGTATCTCTTTTCTTCTCTCTGCTTCATGGCATACAGACTGGCCGTTACTCCTTCGTTGTATAATCCCTTAAGATCTTCTACATGGTTAACGTACTTATGTAAATGATATTCCTCCAATAATGAACTCCACGGAGGGGTAGTGTTCCACCTCCTTCTAGTACACAACATATAAATGTTTTCTAAACCTAATAAACCGTCTTTGTTTTTAAAAAAGGAATACTTGGGAAAAGAAATTCTTCTCCTCGTTTCTCCCTTTTTATAAATCTGTTGCACGAGGTCCCTGGTCTTTTCTGCACCTCCATTTAGTGTGACTCTTGTACATACAAATTCATTTTTGTAAATCGCCTGGGAGTCTACTACACGCTGTGGTGATAAACGTATGGATAATTGCTTTTCTTCCGTTGCAGGGTAAATGGGTGAAATTTTTTTTTCTCTTCTTTCTCCTCCTCGTTCGGTTGCTATACCGTCTTCTCGCGAAAGGGGGGACACCCCGACAGAGATGCCTTCAACAAAATGGAGTACACCCCGGTGAGGGTGTCTTCTCCTTTTGCTCTTTCTCTCACTTGTGGTGGAGTCATCACATGTGATAAGAGCAGGGCATTCTTCGCTTGGGTGTTTACAACTAGGTTGGTTTGCCACATACCTAATTTTCAAGACACGATTAGGCACCATCACAGGGACAGGGGGGGGCCGTATTTCTCCTCCCCGTGGAGACAGCTTCGCACCAGTTGGCAGTCCCCTTCGGGTGTGCCCCTCCACCGCCAAAGGGGTTAGGCACAGGTGCACAATGCACAGGTGGGGCAGGAGCGCTTTCATCCCGAGGGGGTGCGGCAGAAAAGTAGAGCAGCGGCGGGACAGGGAAGTAAAAGCATCACATGGGAGGGAGGGTGTAAAACAGCAAGGGGGGGGAGGCAACACGGGATGTGTTCCACATCATGCGAACTACACTCAGGAGGTTTACCACAGGGGCATATGGCGAGTCCTACCTACCCCCTCCACACACACCCCACACATACACATACACGCGCAGTTACCAAACAAGGAAGTCTGCCGAGGATAAGACGAATCAGGTTGTTGGTCTGACCGTTTTGTTCTTCCCTGAATGTACGTACGGTGTATAGGGTACGTGTCGCTTTTCTTCTGCTGTTTGCTCCTCCTCTCATTTGACGATGGCAACACGTGGAATTCGTTGTGCTTGTGTTATATCTGGCTTACCGCTTTTTTTTTTTTTTTGTTGCTCGCACCTTACGCCGGCAGAGCAGGAAGCGTGGGGGTTGTGTGGGTGTAGCATCTCTTAGCGGATTGCCCCATTAAACATGCCCCCCAACTGTGCGTGTAATTGCAACATACATGGCGCGCGGAATGTATAGAAAAGCGAAACCGTGGTGCGCCCCCACAACACCCTGACATAAGCATTTGTGGCCTTGCTGGGTCAGGCAGATTTGACTCCGTTCGCGCCTTTATAGCGTTTAGCGCGTTCAGCGGTTTTTTTTTTTTTTTTTTTTTTTTT